GACAGTTGGAAAACAAAACCCAGTGGAAGAAATGCTTTCAGCCATCCTGACACAGTATGCAGTCATTACAGTTGATTTTTTGTAGAAGTTGTGCCTGAGTGCTTGTATAGCCGATGTCAGGAAGGGCAGTAGCATTTGTTCAGTGCACCTGCTGTTGAAGTGAGAGAATGTAGCAGAGGTGTTGCAGGTAGAATATTGATTTAAATCTATTGATTTAACATCCACACACGAGGTAGGGAGCAAATCTTGGTTGATTCTCCTGCCCTTAATCTAGGGCACTGAGGTCAGATGTTAACTCCACCCTGATTGTGACTACTGATCAAACTTTAACCCTCGAGTCACTTGGACAGTGAAAGTGAGCTTTTTAATTTCAGACCTGTTGTTTCCAGTAAGTCTGATGCTTCAGTATTTGGAGAATGAACAACTCTGTCTTGTTCTTACACGCCTTCCTGTATTTGCAGCGTTTAAAGCATTGTGCTTTCCCATAGTTCACTTGAGTATGGTGCATACCTCAAAGACAATGTAAAATAAAATACACTGCTACGTAATTCCTTGTCCCTTCTCTTAAAACTGTTGAGGTTGCTGGATGCTAAATTGAGGGATAATGACTCAGGGAAAAGAAATAAATATATCAGCTGCCTTAATATTTTTAAAAGATTAGAAATGTGAAGTTATCCAACATATAGGTCTGTAGTTGTACATGTTGGCATTCAGAAACCACAGAGTGAAAGGAGTCCTCTCCAGCAGGTAGAAGTGATGAGGGCACAGGGAGGAATGGCACGACATAGAGCAATGTGTCTGCAGTTTTTTATATTACTGTACTCCAGCTTAGTTCTTCATTAATCACACACAGGTATTTAAAGAAAATAAGTTAGAACACTATATGAGCAATTGTAGGTATTAAAATAGTGAATTTGCTTGTTTCCAGGATGGTCTTAGTTACAAATATAACCTTTCATGACTAAACCGTTACCTTTGTAACAACAGACAACGTACCGTTAAAATTAGAATGAGTCACCGTAGAACTGCTTTCCTTACTTGTCATTTTTTCAGTTGGTGAGTAACGTGCAGAATAGACTGCCAACCATGGGCAGCAAAGGTGATAAAGTGCAAGTTCTGTCGATATATATCAAGTTTAATTTTTAGCTGAGAACTCTAATGAATAAGGAGGGTTCTGAAAAGATTAACATATGGCCTAGTGCTCAAAACACAGCACAGACTATGGGCCTGACAACAGCCCAAGTGCATGACAGCAACTTGCATTTGTCTAGCACATTTAATTTCATAAGGCATCCTAAGATACTTAGCCAAAGTAATATCAATAAAAACAACAAATCACTAAGGGGCACAAAACAGGAATTGCTGGGAAAACTAGCAGGTCTGGCAGAATCAATGGAAAGAAAGCAGAGATAATATTTCGGATCCAGTGACCCTTCTTCAGAACAAATCACTGAGGGGATTGTCAGGACTGATGACCAAAAGCTTGTAGTTATGTAAAAAACGTTTCTGTTCATCCAATATTAGATATCAGACAAACAATATGGCAAGTGACAGACTGTGAAGAAATTCAAAGAGTGGTGGTGAGATATACCAAAGTATCATTGGCATACAGATGGAACTTGACGTCTTTACAGGCAAAACACTGAGGGACAATATGTGAATGAGAAATTGAAGGAGAGGAGGGTGGAAGCCTCCAGCGAGACTCCAGAGGGAGGAGTGTGGAAAGATTATGGCAGCTGATTCTTGACTAATGGTTCAACAAGTAAGAATGGAATCAAGCTTGGACATTACTACCCAGCTGGCTCACAGAGATGCTGGGAGGATAACATAGACAACTTTTTTTTTCTTTATTCATTCACAGGATGAGGGTGTCACTGTCGAGGCAGCATTTATTCCCCATTCCTAATTGCCCAGAGGGCAGTTAAGAGTCAACCACATTGCTGTGGGTCTGGAGTCACATGTAGGCCAGACCAGGTAAGGATGGCAGTTTCCTTCCCTAAAGGGACATTAGTGAACCAGATGGGTTTTTCCAACAATTGACAATGAATTCACGGTCATCATTAGATTCTTAACTCCAGATATTTATTGAATTCAAATTCCACAATCTGCCATGGTGGGATTTGAATATGGGTCCCCAGAACATTATCTGGGTCTCTGGATTAACAGTCCAGCGATAATACCACCAGGCCATTGCCTAGTGCAAAAGCTGTAGGTCGATCAAGGAGGGAGAGCTCATCACATTCACAATCACAAGAAATGTAATTTGCGACTTTGCGAGGAATGTTTTAGTGTACTGTGGCTTGCCCGGAGTTTTTATTGTAAACATTCAAATGTAATAGCGGGAAATTTGTGCAGGTACTTGGGAAGCAACACTGATGTTCAAAGGCTTTGGAGAATAGAGGGATGATGGAGATTGGGCTGCAGTTTGCAGGGACAGTGGGTTCAAGGATAGGTTTTGTGAAAAGAGAGGTACTGATGAAGCATATTTGGAGGATATTAGGAGTGTGACAACACCTGTGAGAGGGAACCATTAAAATCAGTTAATATTGAGCTCAAGAACGACAGTAGAGTGATTCACGGATTAGTTGCAGTCAGATCAAAGGAAGTGCAGTCAGTTTGCACGGACAAGATGTATTTGGAAAAAGCACTGGGGGAGTGATTGGAAACCAATTCATCAGAACTAGCTTTCCCCCCTTTCCCGAACTAACTCAATCACTGGAAAATGTGAAAAAGGATCAATTATACCCAACAACAAAGAACAGGAAACATTTAACTAAGGTTTACAGCCTTATCAGCCTTCTTTAACTCATCAGTTGACTGATAGAATCATCAACAGTACCATCATCAATATCTACTCTCCAAACATTTCTTTGCTAACAAGTGGGACATTCCATGTGGAAAGTCATTGTCTCTCCATCCCTTCCCTTTCCACCTCCCTCAGAATGAATGACTGGAGTGCTCAAGTACTTTCTCATTCTGCTGGCCCATCAGTACATGAGTAGTCACTTTAAGCGACTTGGTGGAACAAACTGCAGTGATTGTCAATGAGTAATGCAAACTTATCTACACAATCAGTAAGGTAAGTAGAACAGATAAAATCAATCAATCCTGCTGATGCTGTACATGACATTAGGTGGTGACATTTAACCTGCAGTTTGCAGCAGAAGAAAAATATGTAAAATCCGAAAGAATAATTAGTACATCAAAATGCTGTCAGATTGAATTAAGTGATGATGAACCTTAATGGCAATGAATGTCAGCTGAACCCCCAAATGCCAGGCTCAGATTTCTGTCCTATTATTCAAAAGGTACATGGCAGAGATTTCTGTGTTATCATTCTATTTCTGATTCTTGAAACAAGGTGGATGGTTTGGAGAATTTGGAGAATTTCATTGTCTCTGTCTCCTCATTACTGATTCTGAAATTTTGCCATGTCACAGATGAATATTGAATGCAGTCCTGTCAATAATTAGTACATGTCAACATACTATTGCAATTATCTCTATCCTTTAATTGTGTATAGCACTTTGATTTATTGCAAGTACAATGTTTTGTGGTTGTCACTTTAATATAAAATGGAGGAATTAAGGGGAGTTATGTGACCTGCTCTGAATTCTACTCACAGGTTGGTTTCATTGTGGAAGATTAAAAGTGGGGGCTGGCAGGCTGTTTTACTCTGAAGAAGGTGCCAGATATTCATGCCTGTAGACAAATATTAGGAGATTTTGGGAAAACTGTGGGGAGACTATTACTTTGCAATCCAAAGTGTTAAATAAATTGTTACATATTACACTGTTTAATTCCAAGATGGAATAGAGTTGTTGATTTAGAAGATAGTTAATTAGCAATTTTACATAGACACAAGGCCTGTGTGATTCATTTTGCCATGGAGATTAGTTTTAAGAGGGAAAAGGTCCCGAGAAAGCCATTGTAGCTTTGAGTGATACCGTTCCCAAGGTAATGCTAAGCCTCAAACCCTGGTGGGTCTGCAGTCATCAGAAAGGCAGAGAACAGGATTTAGAAGAAGCTGGCCCTGCAGCTGAAGTGAAGAAATTGCTCACTCTTGCTCACTCTGCCAAATGCTCTTGGGAGCTTGCAAGTGCTCATCAGAATTCAAAACGGACTGTCAGGGAAGCTGAGGCTAGACGGAAGGAATCTCCAGTGTGATCTTCACAGTGAACATCAGTTGTGGCATTCTCCTCTATCCCTCTTCTATCCGCCTCCCACTCTCTCCCTATTTATTTCAAAACCCCCTTCCCCTCCCCCTTTTCTGATGAAGGGTCTAGGCCCGAAACGTCAGCCTCTCTGCTCCTATGATGCTGCTTGGCCTGCTGTGTTCATCCAGCCCTGCACCTTGTTGTATCAGTTGTGGCATAGTGAGTTACTTGGTTGGGAAAAAGAAAGGAAGTGAGCCATTGAGAACTGACATAGCTTTGGAATTGTTCCTTGAGGATGAAATGTTCACTTAAGAGACAGTTTGATATATAAACCATAGAGTAGGGTTATCAGTCATGTTAAAAGTAACATAAGGAATTTCTTTACAGTAGTTTAAAGCAAAAATTACCTACTCAATAGTGTTAAGGTGGTGTTTTGTTTTCTTTTGGTATACCACAAGTTTTATATTTTAAAATCTTGTGTGATCCTTTGTCAGTCACTGGGTATTCAAATATCTTCCCAAAAGTCATCACTCTCTACAGAGATTCGTAGAATCCCTACATAATTGTAACACAGATTGTAACATAATTTCTAAGGGATTGTTGCTACAACTAATCTGAATTGATGTTAATTGCTGTGTTTAAACTCCCTCAGGAAATTAGAACATTAACCGGCATTTGTCTACCTTACAATGTTGCCTTGCAGGAACAATACTGTTACCTGGACCTGACAATTGATTAGTTTTCTTTGACTAACTATCCCTCCCCCATCACTCTTCAGCTCAGTGACCTTTCAACTCTGAATTCCAGCAGCGTGGGTGACGTTCTATCCCTGTTGTGTTTCAGGTGTCTTTGGTGCAGTGGACAGAGTGCATAGGCCTAACCCTTGTTGGCCGGGACCAATCCTCAATGCAGCTGAGGACACCTGGAGGACATATTCTGAACTTCAGTATCTTGCAAGTGTTTCCATTTACCTATGAGAGCAAGCGCATGGGAATCATTGTCAGAGTAAGTGGTGGAAAAGGACATGGAAATAAATGGTTATGTGTTATCTTGTGCATTCTTTTGCTCTGTTTCTTTTTTGCTTTCTGTTTTCCCTGTCACCCTTGACTACCAGGTTAAGCTTCTGTTCCACAGGTTCATATACTCTGCCAGTATGTCATCAAAGTGGCCATTATTCAATAATGCAAAAGGCATAATACTCAAGAAGTTGGACATTTGTAATACAAAGAGAAAAACATTAAAATGCTCAGGAGGTTGGCCATTTGTTTGCAGCTGCAGTCTTGACATGCTGGGCATTTCCAGTATGAACTGCTCATATTGGTCATTATTCATGCTGCTTTGTGTGTCGGCTAGCTATTGAACTACAGGGAGCATTACCGTCAGGCTGATCCTTTCCTTATTTGACATCGACATATGGATACATTCAGCTTAGATTGCTGGCTAGGGATCATGTGTGGAAACTCTAACTGATACTACCCCTCCTTTGTCCAAGGACGCAAAGACCAACTACAGATTGAAATCAGATAACAGAACAAAGTCAGGAAAACCAAAACTGGCACCTTCCAGCTGGACTGGGCGAAATGCTTACTGAATAAATTTACAGAAACAAGCTTTTGCATTTTTTCCCATGCTGCTTTCTCCCCTTGTAAAGGTACAATATTTTAAAATCAGTCGGTGGAATCAGTGATATCAACGCAGACAAGGAAATGCTTGAAGATTTCTTGCCATTTAAGGCAAAAAAGTATAACAGTTGTGAAAGCATGGTATTTTAGCAGCACAAATAAATTGCAATATTTATCATCTGTTCTGACCATGTTAATATTTTTAGCTACAATCATTTCCTGTACTGTTGTGTGGTAAAATACATAAATGCTGATCTGTTTAATCTCTCAAGCATTTGTGTAAACAAAAACTGTTTATAGTTTAACTGTTATTTGATCAAGCTCTGATAAATGATGACCTCAACTTATTCTTGACCTCTCTTTAATTATTGAACAAACCTGTAGTTTGTTTCAACAAAAACAGCAGGCTATCTTATAATGTTGTTTTCTAATTAAGGATGACATTTACCAGTGAAGGTACAAGTTGCAGGTATTTGCAGCTCCAATACGCACACTCATACAAGTTTGCCTGGAACCCACTGTTAAATTCTGTCACCCAGCAATCATTGATAGACGCTGCCTATATATGGATTCTATATGGTTAAAAGCTGAGTGTGGGAGTGTAGTTTGAATGCCATGAGATGCTTGAATTCAGGAAAGGGCCAAACATTATTAAGCATGTTCCTGACTATTTAATCCAATTATTGTTCCATAGAAATAAATGGTTGTGGTAAGGCATGTTTAAAGGTTGATGACCAATGGAGGGGATGTTCAATGTCCAGTGATTTGTCACAGTCCATAACTTGCTGAAATCAATGACTTTGTGTATGCATAAGCGACAAAGGTTGTTAATCCAGAACTGCTGATTGAAGCAGAGATAGTAGGAACTGCAGATGCTGGAGAATCTGAGATAACAAGATGTAGAGCTGGATGAACACAGCAGGCCAAGCAGCATCACAGGAACAGGAAGGCTGACGTTTCGGGCCTAGACCCTTCATCAGAAATGGGGGAGGGAAAGGGGGTTCTGAAATAAATAGGGAGAGAGTGGGAGGCGGATAGAAGATGGACAGAGGAGAAGATAGGTGGAGAGGAAACAGGCAGGTCAAAGAGGCGGGGATGGAGCCAGTAAAGGTGAGTGTAGGTGGGGAGGTAGGGAGGAGATAGGTCAGTCCAGGGAGGACAGACAGGTCAAGGGGGCAGGATGAGGTTAGTAGGTAGGAGATGGAGGTGGGGCTTGAGGTGGGAGGAGGGGATAGGTGGGAGGAAGAACAGGTTAGGGAGGCGGGGACGAGCTGGACTGGTTTTGGGATGCGGTAGGGGGAGGGGAGATTTTGAAGCTTGTGAAATCCACATTGATACCATTGGGCTGCAGGGTTCCCAAGCGAAATATGAGTTGCTGTTCCTGCAACCTTCAGGTGGCATCGTTGTGGCACTGAAGGAGGCCCAGGATGGACATGTCGTCTGAGGAATGGGAGGGGGAATTGAAATGGTTCGCGACTGGGAGGTGCAGTTGTTTATTGCGAACCGAGCATAGGTGTTCTGCAAAGCGGTCCCCAAGCCTCTTCTTGGTTTCCCCGATGTAGAGGAGGCCACAACGGGTACAGCGGATGCAGTATACCACATTAGCAGATGTGCAGGTGAACATCTGCTTGATGTGGAAAGTCTTCTTGGGGCCTGGGATGGGGGTGAGGGAGAAGGCGTGGGGGCAGGTGTAGCACTTCCTGCAGTTGCAAGGAAAAGTGCCAGGTGTGGTGGGGCTGGAGGGGAGTGTCAAGCGGACAAGGGAGTCCCGGACAGAGTGGTCCCTTCGGAAAGCAGATATGGGTGGGAAGGGAAAAATGTCTTTGGTGGTGGGGTCGGATTGCAGATGGCGGAAGTGTCGGAGGATGATGCGTTGGATCCGGAGGTTGGTGGGGTGGTACGTGAGGACGAGGGGGATTCTTTTTTGGTTCTTATTGCATGGATGGGGTGTGAGAGTCTCTCCGTGACTCCCTTGTCCGCTCCACACTCCCCTCCAGCTCCACCACACCCGGCACTTTTCCCTGCAACCGCGGAGGATTCTTTTTTGGTTGTTATTGCGGGGACGGGGTGTGAGGGATGAGTTTTGGGAAATGCGGGAGACACAGTGGAGGGCGTTCTTGACCACTGAGGGGGGGAAGTTGCAGTTCTTGAAAAACGAGGACATCTGAGATGTACGGGAGTGGAATGCCTCATCCTGGGAGCAGATGTGGCGGAGGCGAAGGAATTAGGAATAGGGGATGGCATTTTTGCAGGAAGGTGGGTGGGAGGAGGTGTATTCTAGGTAGCTGTGGGAGTCGGTGGGCTTGAAATGGATATCAGTTTCTAGGTGGTTGCCTGAGATGGAGACAGAGAGTTCCAGGAAGGAGAGAGAGGTGTTAGAGATGGTCCGGGTGAACTTAAGGTTGGGGTGGAAGGTGTTGGTGAAGTGGATGAACTGTTCGAGCTCCTCGTGGGAGCACGAGGCAGCGCCGATACAGCCATCAATGTAACAGAGGAAGAGGTGGGGTTTAGGGCCAGTGTAGGTACGGAAGAGGGATTGTTCCACGTAACCTACAAAGAGGCAGGCATAGCTTGGGCCCATGCGGGTACCCATGGCCACCCACTTTGTCTGTAGGAAGTGAGAGGATTTGAAAGAGAAGTTGTTGAGGGTGAGGATGAGTTCGGCTAAGCAGTTGAGGGTGTCAGTGGAGGCGGACTGGTCGGGGCTGCGGTACAGGAAGAAGCGGAGGGCCTTTAGGCCATCTGTATGGGGAATGCAGGTGTATAGGGACTGGACGACCGTGGTAAAGATGAGGTGTTGGGGACCGGGGAATTGGAAGTTCTGGAGGAGGTGGAGGGCATGGGTGGTGTCACGGACGTAGGTAGGGAGTTCCTGGACCAAGGGGGAGAAAATGGAGTCCTGATAGGTGGAGATAAGTTCGGTGGGGCAGGAGCAGGCGGAGACAATGGGTCGACCAGGGCAGTCAGGTTTGTGGATTTTGGGAAGGAGATAGAAGCGGGCGGTGCGGGGTTGGGGAACGATGAGGTTGGAGGCCATGGGTGGGAGGTGACCTGAGGTGATGAGGTTGTGGCTGGACACGAGCACATTTAGTGGTACCTGATGAACGAAGGAGCACAGTGACGTATCTAAGGCAAACACAGCAAATGCTGGCAAAAGTCAACAGGTCTGGCAACATCTGTGGAGAGAGAACTGAAGATTCATACTGGAGTTGAAGCATGAACTCTGTTTCTCTCCACAGATGCTGTCAAAACCGCTGAGTTTCTCCAGCGTTGTCTGTGTTTGTTTCAAATTTCCAACATCTTCAGTATTTTGCTTTAATTTGACAATTCTAAGGTGTATCCTCAATTTAATAGGAAGCAAATGAGGAGGTTGATTATAGGTTCTGGGGGATTTGCATTCTCTAAATAAAATATTATGAGGATCTCTGATGGAGAATTTTCTGATACTGAGAATTAGAAAGAAACATAAGGTACAATTCTTGCCAATTTTCTCTTGTTTACTTGCATTTCCTCTCTCTGCTGTGGCCCACTTTTGTTATTGTGTTGAATCCTTGCTGGAATATGATTCAGCGATTATCACTGGACTTCTGGTATAGCCTGTATAGCTATTGTTCATACCAGGCAGTAAGAAGGTTGAGCTGACGGGTTGACAGAAACTGTGAGCAAAGTTTTTGAAGCTCGATGGTGTGGTGCCAGAGGTGGATGAGCCCAGGAATTTGTTTTGCCAGCACATCAGTTTGCAGACATTATCACACGTCCAGGCTATTTTCGTGAAGAATGAGTCAGGGGTGGAATGTACTTTCTTGCAAGTGGCAGGTTATCAGTTGTAGTAATTAAATAAATAAAACAAAGAACTGTGGACACTGGAGATCTGAAACAAACCAGAACAGAAATAGCTGGAGAAACTCAACAAGTCTGGCAGCATCTGTGGAGAGAAAACAAAGTTAATGTTTTGGGTCCTGATTGTGTTTTGAAGGAGGGTCACAGGATTCAGTGTTAATTCTGTTTCCTCGCTGATGAGTTTTTGTTTTGTTTGTGGTAATTAAGTAATTTGGTTTGATCTCTCTCCCTGCCAGCTGGATTCTTCCAGTTGCATGTGTGGCTAACACAGAGGTTGAGAAGGTGCCTTTCAGACAGGAAAGGAGTTTGTAGGTCGTTGCTCTCTGTCCTACTGGAGATCCAATGTTACAGCCTAAAAACAATCCATCAGTTCCACACAAGCTATTTCTTGTTGGATTCATCCTTTTTCCTCTACTCAATCCCCATTAAAATTACAGACACAAATTTCAGCCAATTCAGGAATCTGTCAAAAAATTCCTGTATGATTGCTCCATGGTTATTAAGCACATTGTGCAAAACTCTAAACCTTGTCGGTTGCTTCTC